ATTGGTGTAGATCGACACGTGATTGTTGTGCGATCGCAACATAGACACCTACTTGGTGCTTCCTTCGGCTTGCTTGACACAGAATTTCTGGCATAAGCGTTGAATTTCACCTTGAAAGGCGACATGGGTAGCGGAAAAGCCCTTCCTGAAAACTAAGAGCACACTCTTACTCGTTCCCTCAGCACCCCCCCCCATTCCTTCTAAAAATCGGGAAAAAACAAAACAACCCCTACTGTCCCAACAGTCGTCCTAGTTCATCTCTCTTGATCAATCAAAAGCTCTCGGTCGAGTCGGAGTGCGAGGACACATGGTGCATTCGGGAATCCTGCCAAGCTGGCCTCGTACGCTATGTCTTTGGGTATGCTGCAAAGTCCAAAAGCCACGAGGGTCTGCTTTCAAGTGTGCTGAATGAGTGGAACATATGCGCAGGGGAAGTCGAAATGTGACCTTTACGACAAGTACCAAGAAAAACCCCTAGACAAGTGTGCAAACACCCTGTTTGCTGCCTCAATCTGAGTGCTCTGAAACAAAAGTTGGTCCCAGGGAAGCATGAAACGGCAACCTTCTATGGAGGGGAACTTGGCGCCCTGAGTGGCAGAGGTCCAGTAGAAAGTTCTGGAAACAATCGAGCAAATTCTCCCAAGCATCCCCCAAGAAAACAAACAATGGAACCTGGGAAACACTAAATAGTGTCCTGGGAAAACCATGCAACACCAACAGGTACCTCCCAAGTTTTCTGAAAAAAAAACACATGAATATATTTTGGGCAGCAAAACCCGCCTCTGCCAGCTGCAGGGCAACCAAGTGCCGCTGAGCGCGCAGCTCGTGCAACTGGGCGGGTGGCATCGGTGGCATGTCCCTTACCACAAAACCAGGGGTTACCAAAGGGGAGTGTGTCCAACTGGGAGACCCCCTTGAATAGGTCAGAAGTCCCCCAGTCCTCAAAAGGCTAGAGTCTTCGAGGGTGTCTCAAACTAGACCACCAAAATTGTCTACCCTTTGGAAACCCCTCAAAAAAGGTACCCTCACAGAAAAAGACCCACCCAAAAGAGAACAGCCAAGGAAACTGAACAGGGGCAAGCGACTGAGACAAGTCAAAGCAGCGCTTTTGTTGTCTTGCACTCACTTTTTCTTGACTACTGTATGAAAGAACGGGAGTCAGGTGGCTACTGCAGTAACATGGATGGCTTGAAAAAACATTCTGCAGTGGTCCACTACAACTCGATGCCCAAATATACAGCTGGAGCTTCCATCCCGCTTACTCAATTTGGAGACCCAGCCCTTAGACATAGACAGACTCAGGTGCACTGGGACCTCTTTATGGTTCTACCCCCAAACCGCTACCCCCATGGGTTCAATGGGATAAAACAACCCACTGCATAGCCTTTGCCCCGTTGGGGGGTAGTGGCCTGGGAGTAGTGGACCCATCTTAGACCTATGGTGGACCCCAGGCCTGCGGCGCCGGCTGCGCTGCAGCCCACGCCTCCATCTCCTGAACACATTCGTTGGGAGTGGGGACTGCGGACCGAGTGTCTTTGGATCGCGTTTCTGCCGAGTTGCGAGCCAAGAAAGGGGGGAAACACAAAACAATCAAACTAACATCACTGAGATCACATTAGCCCCGCCTGCGAAAAAGCAGCCGCTTTTTGGAAGAAGAACAACCCCCCCACAAATAATAAGCGCATAGAGAGAGAGAGAGAGAGAAAGGAAAGGATCGTCGACCGTCCCTTTTGAATGGTTTCCAAAATTCCAAACACGGTATCCAAGCAGTCTTTTTGGGATCCCTCATTCCGGACGGGCATTCGCCGAGCAAAAGCGGCCTGCTTTCACCTCTTGAAGGTTGAGCTGAGGGTTGAGCTTCAACTGATACGCAGCTCCCAAAATTCAGCGACTTTTGCTTCTACCAACACACATGGTTGTGAAGGCGTAGCGGGTACTGCAGTAATTACCCATAAAGCTAAGTAGTAGAATGCAAAACCAATGAAAACAAATGCCACTCAGTGGGGGGTGAGCGCTGCTCACTTGGGATTGTGTGGAAGCCCAAGGATGTTGGCCTACATGGAAACAAAACGGAACCAAACTGCTGGGAGGGGTCTACCAGCTTGTTTTTTTAACACCTAGCCGCTTGTCCAAACGATGAACAAATAAGAGGCGAGCAAATGACAGACCACACTGTGGCCCAGCACTAGGAAAGGTCGCTGAACCCTGGCATGGCTGTGGAAAAGCGCATCGAACAAAACCGCCAAGAGGTTTAAATGGTCATAGGATAGTGCTGGCTTCCATTGCATGGGCAGGGTCATTGAGACACTCCCAAGCTTGCTCTCAAGTTTTTTCTGTCCTTTCGTCCTTCCCTAGGGAGAGAACCTCTGGTTGCAGACTTGTAAAAGAGGTGCACGTTTGGCACATTCAAGAGAGCCGCCTGGGTTGACTGTCAGGGAATCTGTCCAACTGGAACTAATGTTTTCGGCCTGAGACATGAGCACCCCCTTCCCCCGTCCAATAAATAGACCCTATCAATAAACACTATTTTTCCAGACTGGCTAAAACAGCCGTGTCCCCAATACTACTTTTCGAATAGCTACATTCAAAAGCAATACTAAACCGTCCGATGTCTATTCTAAATGCATACGTGCCTTTTACTAACTTACATTTTCTTCTTGAATTGTACTTCTAAGTTAAAACTGCGCCGTTTACTTTTCAACAGCAAATACAAAAAAGGAAAAACAAGAAAACAGAAAACAACAAGCTTGAACTGTTTATTCAAATTCGTTACTCGGAAAGGTGCGGTTTTGAGTTTTTTCGTGTCCGGGAAGGGGGGGAGCCCATTTGGACGAGGACCGAAGAGGAAATCCGTCCGACCCACAACAGGACCCTGTTAATAAGTATGTTGTGTCCCTCAGAGAGAATCTATTAGTAGGGGGGTCTGCGTTCATTATTAGGGGGGAGGGATTAGAAGGAACCCAACGCTGATTGAAACCCAAAATCCATTCACGGAACAACAACAGCAAAGAGAGATCCGACAAAGACCAGAACGTCGGCCACAACAACTGCAGGCGGCATCGACCAAAACAGTCGCTCAATTTCCCCAGGAAAGACTAAACGGTCTCAAGCCTCGCTCCTGAGTGAGGTGGGCTAAAAGAGCATCCCTCTCAGCGACCTCGCCAGAAGCGGGCCAAAGGGCCGCTAAAGGGGGAGGTGGGTGTGTCACGAGAGACCCCTCCAAATGGCCGGCTTCACCACTCCAAGTCCCAGATAAACAGAGACTCCCAAAGAGTCATGGCCACATGGCCCCAACACGGCCCATGTCTTCCCCAGCCTGTCTACTTTAACCCCAAACCTGTCCGCTTTTATGGGGTCGGCAAAAAGTAGGGCAAGCCCCGTATTATACACACCGCCCTTGATCCACTGGCAGCCATTTTGAAGCCAAGCAAACATATGCAAGCCCGAGACTTACCGGGCTTTGCACCGTTCCTGGTTTTGAACCTCAACAAAACCAACATGGAAACAAGAGCCTAGCAAATGCTCGGGTGAAACGATTGGCACGATGCTCCGTTGAAGAAGTCGATAAGTTGAGATTCAACAAAAACAATGTCTACATGGGAAAAGCCGCACGAATCTATCCCACCGGCAAACGATTGCCCCGTCCGTACGTGATATCATTCTCCACAAAAGCCTGCTGTATCGGGGAGCGCCTGGAGCTGATCGCCATGATACGCCTCGCCCTCCGGGGCAATTCAGAAGTTGACCGCGAATTGGGTGCGTCGTTTTTGGAGTACCGCCTTGGGGGTCGCTTTCAAGGGAAACCATGGAAATCAACAGGATAACAGCCATTTGAGGGGGTTCCTAATGTTGACACAGGCCTATGTCCCAAACTCCGCCAGGCTTGTTCAACGGTCAACATCACAAAACCCCCATCGTTGGTGTCCGCTTGCTTTCTCAACCAGGTCCCTTATACACAAATGCAGTGGAAATGGTGGGCATCGTCCAATGGATAGTTTCCTTTTGGTTTCCCGGCAAACACTACATCAATATCCGAATGGGAGCCTCCAAACACCTGCTACACATGCTAAACAAAACAAATGACTAATCGCGCTTGGCGCAAGAATCGTTGAAGCCCAACAGGCGGTATAACTGGACTCCTGGGAAGAATTAAGGGCGGGGACAACGTTTACCTAAAGGCCAAAGAGCGGTTACCCCCAGGAGGAAACTAAGGATACCAGCCAATAGCAAGAAAGCCCACAGCAAACGAAAAGGAACTCACAAAAAAGACAAAAAGGCCAAAGACAAACCAAGAAGAAGCAAACAAAACATGAGTATGTATGTGTTAAAACTGGGGAGGGGGGGATGTTGGTTGGTTTTCTCTTGGCTCAACCTGAAAAGCGTACCCTCAGAACAACACCCATGGCCCGGCCTGCGTCAGGTGCTGGATCAGGGCGCTCTTCTCAGCGAGCTCGGCTCGCAAGACGTCTAGCTCCGAAAGCTCCTCGCACGTTGGGTCCATTTGGCTGTGGGTCAAAACCAATGGTACCTTTTTGGGGCAGGTGCACCACCCATTTTAGAGCCTATTTTAGTGGGGATTGGTTGATGTTCACTGGGGGTGACCGGGATTTTGACCCATGGCCATTTGCTTCCAAAAGAAACCAGCAAGGAACTCTAGAGTTGTAGCTGGATTCTATGGCTGTAAGGAATCAGTTTCGGGGTTCCGGGCCCACTCGGTTTGGATGGCACGTTTTTCACAACCGCGGCTGCACTGGGGCTTCATACAAACCACTTGGGCGTTGAGGTGCACAAACTCTGCCTTTGGTTGGTGCGGATGGATTCACATAGCGGCGTGACATTTTGAAGGTTGGGAACAAACAACTGCACGTAGAGGGTCACGTGGAGCACCTTTGAAAAGCGTGTGTCGCTTATACACCATCAAATCAATCCCATGCAATTCCAATACTTCAGGGTCGTGCCAGGGCAAAAAGGCACGTTGCGATCCCAAGTAGCTGACTTTCTCAAGGCCCTGCCTGCGTTGCTCGGGCGAGCAGGGCATCTTTCTCTGCCACCTCTATGTGCAAGGCCTCCATCTCGTCCGCGCCTTCCTGGCGTACATCCCAGGCAAGGAACAAATAGCCTTGCTGGCAACACACGCAAATCCCAATGCCGAACGGGAATTTCTCAGTACTTGAGGGACTCCAATGCCACCTTGCAAATTGCTGCAACATCTCATTTGGAAGGGCTTTTGGGTATGTGTCAAAATAGAGGGACACCCAAAACCCAAAAGGGTACCTTCAAAAAAGCATACACACCCATTTCATTTCAAGGCCCAAAAGGTTCCACCTGCTGGCCTCCTGCGAGGGTTGCGCGTCCGCGGGCTGGAGTGCCTTCGCCTCCGTCTGGCAGTCCTGCGGGCCGGTCAACTCACCGGCGAGGAATCCGGGAAGGGGAGACTCTCAACATGGACTTTGGATCCTGTTGGGTTGGTGTTTCACTTGAAGTCCGAGAAAGGACACCAGTTTCACTATTGGGGACCGATTCCTATCCTGAGGAACACCCAAATAGGACCTCGTAAAAACCCGAAAGGCTGAAACGTCGCGACTCTTTCAAAAATACGCGGCTCCTTCAGCAGAACTGGAAAACTTGCGTCCCCCCTGCATTTGTCGGGAGTTTGAAGAATCCGCTTATGTCCGTCCCTGCCAACGCAGGATTGTTTGACTGAACCTCACAGGACCTCCCCTCAGGATTGAGGCGGCAGGATCGTTGTCAGTCATTCCTAGGTCTGTATGTGTTATGCAATTGACGTGGGCATTGATCAACGCTCCTTCACCCAAAACGGGCATTTCCAGAAACAGAAATAGTAGCTTGTTTAGTGAACCTGCACGTTTAGTTGTAAGGTCTGCCTCACAGCTGTCTGTGGAAGCAAGAGCGGTTTGCTTGAGCCCGGGTGGTCATCCCTCCAGCACAGAAAATGCAACAGGCAAAGTCAACAAGCGTCAACAGAAATAAGCGACCTTGACAAAGCAACTCGCGTATAGGGAAAAAGCAAGCTTCAGTATCCTTGGGAGGCATACCTCTGCTTTTGCAAGGTTCGATGGGACCAATCTCTTTTTAATTGCAAAATCTTTGTCAACCACTCGCCCAGTACTCTTATCATTCCGTAAGAAGCTCCCCTGCATAAGGGTTGAAGGTTGTTTGTATGTTCCCTGCAAAACATGGAAGGACCCCCTCTTGACTCGAACATCCTATTAATCAACCAAAGTTGATGAAACCTGGGTCAACACAAGCTGGCTGGCTGTGTCCAAGGTGCCCTCCTGCGTCAAGCGAGCCACCAAGGCGTCCCTCTCAGCCAGCTCTGCGCGAAGAACGTCGAGCTGCTGAAGCTGAAAGTCGGCCTGAGCGACAGCCACCGCGGCCGATGCAACTCTGGCAGCCGCTGGCAGCTGCACATTTGCAAAGAAAGGGATTCCATGGACAATGTGCTGGATCCCATCAAGTGACCAGCTTTACATCAAATCATTGGCTTTGTTGAATTCCTATCTATACTAGTCGTTTTACACGGGAAACAACGCGCAACCCTGCCTGTGTCACACGCATCATCAAGCCATCCTTCTCGCCCCGCAAAGCTTCCAGCTCTTCCCAGCTGTTCGTGCGGAAAGCCTCCCGGCTGGCCTCGCTCTCCTGGGGTTTGAAGGGAAACCGACAGAACCCAATTGGGTGTGGCTCAAAATTAAGGAGGGGTTACGCAGGTTTTGGCCTTTGTTTCTACTTGCCAGGGTTCCATTTTGGTACCGGTTTTTCGAGCCAAACAATTGGGGCTTCGGGTTCCCCTTCAAACACTAGGCAAACCTCGGACATCCGATGGCCTTCTGCCCCTACCTGTACTCAAAGCCCAGATCTCTTCAAAGAGAATCTTTGCTTTTCCCCAGCCCGCCCCCCCGCCCACCCATGTCGGCTGGCCCAAAATCCTGTCCGGCGGGCCTTGAAATTTTCGGGGTTCGTCGGCGTCCAGCTCCATGGGTCCATTTTTGTCGAAAATCTGAGACTAGGCTGAGGGCAGCCCCGCCTGCTGGCCAAGCTTGCCTGAAACAGGCCTAGCCAACCAGCAACCCGCCCAAGCACGGCCCCAAGTCATCCAGCAAGCCCAGCCCAGTCTCACGTGTCTGAGACTGGTTTCAAATGCCAGCTACTAAGCCTGTCTGACGTGCCCCAGCCCCTCAGTCCGGCTGCCCAGCAGCTCAGCCCAGGCTGGCCCCTGCTCACGTCTGGCCCCAAGTCATCCAGCCCAGCCCCTCACACTGCGCCGGAGACTAGCCTCAGGCCCAGTCCCTCAGCCCGCTTCCTGGCATGTCTTACGTGTCTGCGACTGGCCTCAGGCCCAGCCCAGCCAGCAACTCGCCACCCAGCCTCAGGTCCAGCAACCCGCCCAAGCACAGCTCTAGGCCGGCCCCCAGTTTTCAGCGCACCAGCAGGCTCAGCCCAGCGTGCCAAGGTCAGGTTTGTCTAACGTGTCTGAGACTGGCCTCAGGCCAACGACCAGTCTCACCTGAGATCTCAAGCTATGCCAGCTACTAAGCCTGTCTGACGTGCCCCAGCCCCCCAGTCCGGCTGCCCGACTACGCGTCGGAAAATCGCGGCCTACTCATCACAGAGGCTCTCTCTCTCTCTCTCTCTCTCGCGCGCGCCCGAAAATCTTTCGGGCGCGCGCTCTATTACCACCCCCCGCTGGATTGAGAAAAGTCATCTTGGGGCATCGCCAGGGGGGTGGTAACAAGCGTCATAAATTCGGCCAGTACTAATTCCTATATAATAAGCACCCCCCCCCTCCCCAAATCTAGCAATATGGAAGTCTGGGGGTGCGCTTCCAGCGTTGTCAGCACCGACATCAGGGAGTATCGCTGGCGGCGCGGCCGGGGGGGTGCGCCTGGTGGCCGGGGCTGAGCAGGCCTTGACCTCCTGCTCGTGTCTGGCCCCAAGTCATCCAGCAGGCCCAGCCCCTTCGGCGCAGTCTGAGACTGGTCTCAAGGTGCCAGCCTGAGACTAGCCTCAGGCCCAGTCCCTCAGCCCGCCTGCTGGCGTGTCTTACGTGTCTGCGACTGGCCTCAGGCCCAGCCCAGCCAGCAACTCGCTACCCAGCCTCAGGCCCAAGTGTGTACCCATCCAGCGACCCGCCCAAGCACAGCTCACCCCAGCCCGCCCAGCCCAAGTTCCAGGCCCAACCAGCAGCGTAGTCCGGCTGCCCGGCAGCCAGCAACCCACCCATGCCTTCGGTGTTCCTGACCCTTCCCTCAAACTAGGCTGGGCCGAGGCGGGCAACGCGAAGCGTTTACAATAAACTCCATCAAAAAATACAACCTTGGACAGTCGGACGTTGAACTTCCTGCGGCAGCCTACAAACCAGCATGCATGCTTTTCTCTACCACCCTACGCAGCTCCTGCGTCAGGCGAACTACCAAGGCATCCTTCTCCGCAATCTCTGCGCGCAAAATTTCGAGCTCCTTCAGCTGAAACTCGTTGCCCTGAGCAAGGCCAACGGTGTGCAGGCCACTGCAAACAGCCGAAGATCCACCAAGCACCTGGAACCCAAGACTAAAACCAGCGTAACGTAACCCCAGCTCTTTAATTTTGAGCCATACCCACCTGCAGCATGGCAATGGCCCGGTCGGCAACGCAAGACACGGCCTGCGCCAGGCGACCCAGCAAGGCCTCGCACTCCTAACAGTGATAGCTCCGTTCAAGGCACTCACTTGGCCATGGGTCAAAACCCCGTACCCCCAGTGAACATCCCAATCCCCACGAAAATAGGCTAAAATGGGTGGTGCACCTATCCCAAATGGTACCATTGGTTTTGAACCATGGCCACTTCAGAAATTGCCGACACCCCAGCTGTGTACAACGCGTTGACTGGTGTCGGGGCATGTCAGGCAGCCTTGTTTCAGCTTTGCGCTTTTTGTCCACAGCTATGTGCAAACATAGCGCAAACAAACGCCGCAACAAGACGAAACCCAAGCACACACACCCACACAAACCCTGCTCAACTCGCTGTGACCTACAAACCAAGGCCATCATGCATGCCTTTCTCCGAAAACCCTACCGTGCTCCTGCGTCAGGCGAACCACCAAGGCATCCTTCTCTGCAACGTCTGTGCGCAAAAGGTCAAGCTCCTTCAGCTGAAACTCATTGCCCGGAGCCAAGGCTGCCTGGTGCAACTTCGTGTGGTCACTTAACACCAACTGCGCAGCGAATGGTAATGCATCGCATATCTGTTCGGCCTTCTTCAGGCGAGCCACCAAGGCTTCCTTCTCCGCAGCATCTGCGCGTAAAGCCTCCAGCTCTTCCAATTCGGCGGCTGTCCCCTGAGCAACGCACAAGCCACGGCTAAGTGAACAAACATCGCATCTGCTGCTCCAACTCTCTCGCCTCGAACAGCGAAGCTTCCCGTGCGCGCAGCTGGCTTGCTTCTGCCTGGAAGTCCTCACGCTCCTGCAACATCAATATAGGGCAAAACGTGGTGAACGCCCGTCAGACATCTGGCCAAGCCCTATGCCTCAGCAACAGAACTTGCTTGGCAGCGATTGCACCTCGACCCTGTCCTGCGCCCTTACTGCCTCTGGTCCCAAAAACAACCCCAAACGTGCGCAAGCCGCAGCTGGCAGCTGAAGTCTACAAGCATCCTCTTCTGAGAAAGGCAGTCATTGCAGTCGCTAACCATGTTTGGAACCCCAAAGTCGCTGCATCATGCAACAAAATCCTTCATCAGCTTTCATTGTTCAATGAACATCAATGAACCAAACTCTAACTCCTGCACGTCAAATAGTCGGTACATATCTGTTCGGCCTTCTTCAGGCGATCCACCAAGGCTTCCTTCTGAGCAGCATCTGCGCGTAAAGCCTCCAGCTCTTCCAATTCCGCGGCTTTCCCCTGAGCAACGCACAAGCCACGGCTAAGTGAACAAACATCGCATCTGCTGCTCCAACTCTCTCGCCTCGAACAGCGAAGCTTCCCGTGCGCGCAGCTGGCTTGCTTCTGCCTGGAAGTCCTCACGCTCCTGCAACATCAATATAGGGCAAAACGTGGTGAACGCCCGTCAGACATCTGGCCAAGCCCTATGCCTCAGCAACAGAACTTGCCTGGCAGCGATTGCACCTCGACCCTGTCCTGCGCCCTTACTGCCTCTGGTCCCAAAAACAACCCCAAACGTGCGCAAGCCGCAGCTGGCAGCTGAAGTCTACAAACATCCTCTTCTGAGAAAGGCAGTCATTGCAGTCGCTAACCATGTTTGGAACCCCAAAGTCGCTGCATCATGCAACAAAATCCTTCATCAGCTTTCATTGTTCAATGAACATCAATGAACCAAACTCTAACTCCTGCACGTCAAATAGTCGGTACATATCTGTTCGGCCTTCTTCAGGCGATCCACCAAGGCTTCCTTCTGAGCAGCATCTGCGCGTAAAGCCTCCAGCTCTTCCAATTCCGCGGCTTTCCCCTGAGCAACGCACAAGCCACGGCTAAGTGAACAAACATCGCATCTGCTGCTCCAACTCTCTCGCCTCGAACAGCGAAGCTTTCTGTGCGCGCAGCTGGCTTGCTTCTGCCTGGAAGTCCTCACGCTCCTGCAACATCAACATAGGGCAAAACGTGGTGAACCCAGTGAACCCATATTCGGAAATCCGATCAAATCGGTCCAGGCCTAATTAAGCCACTGGACGAGATGGCACAATAAAACAATTGAGCCGTGCAAAGCGGTACTATGAACTTGATTTGGCGAACCCTTTCGCGATGCTTTCGCGACCCCATGTTTTTGCCTTTGCCGGCTTCGTTTTCTTTAGAATTGTTTTCGCGGCGCACTGTCACACCCTTTGGACTGCATGAGCTCAGAAGCTGCAGTTTCCTCTTGACGCGCAGGGTAGTGCGTGCTGCAAAAGTTCCACAAACGGAAGTGCACCCAATGAGACTATGTAAAACAACTCCCGCTCATCAACGTGCAGGCAAACGCGGGGCTTTCGCGGCGGCACCTTCTGGCACTTGCGCGAGCTGTCGCAAGCTCTCGCGGCCTGCGTTTGGGCTTTCGCACAGGTTCTTTCGGACCCCTTTACTACTTTGCATAGGCGTTATGACGTCCAACACTGTCTTTCGCAGTTACTACCTTTCTGGTCCCTACCTGCTCTCCTTTTTTATAAATAAATTGAAAAACAAAAAAAACAACTCTGCCAGCCAACCGTTGCACATACCTGCTGTAGCCTACAGTCTCTCACAGGTGCGCTTCTGCTCCTTCGTCAGGCAAATCACAACTGCGTCCTTCTCCGTAACGTCTGCGCGCAAAGCGTCCAGCTCCTTCCGCTGCAACTCATTGCCCTGAACGCAGGCTGTTGGTGTGCAAGCCACAGCTGGCAGCTGAAGATCTCCCAACAGCTTCTTCTGAGAAAGGCAGTGCGAAAAATGCTTTCATCGGCATACATTATTCATGTTGAACATCATTGGACCAAACACAAACTCCTGCACATCAAACAGCCTGTACATATCCGTTCGGCCTTCTTCAGGCGAACCACTAAGGCTTCCTTCTCCGCAGCATCTGCGCGTAAAGCCTCCAGCTCTTCCAATTCGGCAGCTTTCCCCTGAGCCACGCACAAGCCACGGCTAAGTGAACAAACATCTCATCTGCTGCTCCAACTCTCTCGCCTCGAACAGCGAAGCTTCCCGTGCGCGCAGCTGGCTTGCTTCTGCCTGGAAGTCCTCACGCTCCTGCAACATCAACATAGGGCAAAACGTGGTGAACCCAATTCGGAAATCCGATCAAATCGGTGCCTCAGCTACTACAGGAGACCGCACAATGAACAGTTAGCATCAGCAACTGTCCCTCAACCCTGTCCTGAGCCCCTACTACCTGCACTCTAAAGTCCTAAAAAAAACACCCCAAACGCACCTCTGCCAGCCAAGCCTTGCACTTACCTGCTCTCGCCTACAGTTTGTCGCGCACGAGTTGCTCCTGCGTCAGGCGAAGCATCACGGCATCCTTCTCCGCGACCTCTGCGCGCAAACTGCCCAGCTCTTCCAATCCTGCGGCCCTCGCCTGAGCCATGTCGCATGAGGCAAAGAAGAACTCTCCGCTATGAATTGTGATGGGTCTCGGAGCTGTTGGTGGACGTCAAAAGTCAGCGGGGATTCATGAGGTTTCCCATTCAACAAACTCACTGACATGTACCCTGTGGTGCTCCAACATGGCCTTAAGCAGCGAAGCTTGCCGTGCGCGCAGCTGGTTCGCCCCCACCTGGACGGAGTCACGCTCCTGCATCAACCGGCAACACTTCAATACTTGTGCGTTAGGAAGCAAACCCAAGCACACAATGTGTAGATAAGCATTAGCTATTGGACGCTATTGGCGAGGCTCATTGAGCCCTGTCTTTAGGCTTTTGCTGTCTGTTCTGCCACCTGCTGGTCTACTCCAAGTCCAACTGCGATTTCCAAACATAGCCCAATGACAGGTCGACACCATCCCACAGCGCACCTGCAAAGCAAAAAACCCGAAAACCTTGGACAGCCTGAATCTATCTGCTGTAGCCTACAGTCCATCATGCAGTATGATTGCGCCACCATGACATGCTCCTGCGTCAGGCGAAGCACCACAGCATCTCTCTCCCCAACGTTTGCGCGCAAAACGTCCAGCTCCTTCAACTGCAACTCATTGCCCTGAATCAGGCTTGCAAGGCTGCCCCTGTGCAACTGTTTTTGGCTGCAAATCTACGGCCCCTCTTATGGCATTGCCAGACATGGCGCTTGATGAACCAGCAAGACATGTCAAGTCGCACAGTGGCATGATGTTACGTCCTTCAGAAATCCTGATTCACATCAACGATCAGTACGTTTACACACATGAGACTATTGGCCTGCACATGTCTGTACGGCCTGCGTCAAACTGGCGACCAAGGCATCCTTCTCCGCAACGTCTGCGCGCAAAACGTCCAGCTCCTTCAGCTGCAACTCTTTGCCCTGAACCAAGGCTCGCAAGGCTACCCCTGTGAAACTGTTTGCGGATGCAAATCTACGGTCACTCTTGTGGCAATGTCTGTTATGGCCCTCGGTCATCCAGCAAGGCATGTCAAATCGCAAAGTGGCATGATGTTACGTCCTTTAGAATTCCTGATTCACCTCAACGATCACTACGTTTACACACATGAGACTACTGGCCGTCTGTACGGCCTGCGTGAAGCCAACGACCAAGGCATCCTTCTCCGCAACGTCTGCACGCAAAACGTCCAGCTCCTTCAGCTGCAACTCATTGCCCTGCACCAAGGCTCGCAAGGCTGCCCCTGTGCAACTGTTTGCGGATGCAATCTACAAGGCCCGTCATTTGGCAATGCCAGTCGTGGCGCTCGGTGAACCAGCAAGACATGTCAAGTCGCACAGTGGCATGCTGATGGGTCCTTGACTAACTATTCAGGATTCACATCAACGATAAATACGTTAAGACTGACTGCGGCAAATGAGATTATTTGCCTGCATATGTCTGTACGGCCTGCGTCAAGCTGACGACCAAGGCATCCTTCTCCGCAACGTCTGCGCGCAAAACGTCCAGCTCCTTCAGCTGCAACTCTTTGCCCTGAACCAAGGCTCGCAAGGCTACCCCTGTGAAACTGTTTGCGGATGCAAATCTACGGTCACTCTTGTGGCAATGTCTGTTATGGCCCTCGGTCATCCAGCAAGGCATGTCAAATCGCAAAGTGGCATGATGTTACGTCCTTCAGAATTCCTGATTCACCTCAACGATCACTACGTTTACACACATGAGACTACTGGCCGTCTGTACGGCCTGCGTGAAGCCAACGACCAAGGCATCCTTCTCCGCAACGTCTGCACGCAAAACGTCCAGCTCCTTCAGATGCAACTCATTGCCCTGCACCAAGGCTCGCAAGGCTGCCCCTGTGCAACTGTTTGCGGATGCAATCTACAAGGCCCGTCATTTGGCAATGCCAGTCGTGGCGCTCGGTGAACCAGCAAGACATGTCAAGTCGCACAGTGGCATGCTGATGGGTCCTTGACTAACTATTCATGATTCACATCAACGATAAATACGTTAAGACTGACTGCGGCAAATGAGATTATTGGCCTGCATATGTCTGTACGGCCTGCGTCAAGCTGACGACCAAGGCATCCTTCTTCGCAGCGTCTGCGCGCAGAACGTCCAGCTCCTTCAGCTGCAACTCCTTGCCCTGAACCAAGGCTCGCAAGGCGACCCCTGCGCAACAGTTTTTGGCTGCAAATCTGGCGCTCGGTCATCCAGCAAAACATGTCAAGTCCCAAAGTGGCATGATGTTACGTCCTTCAGAAATCCTGATTCACATCAACGATCAGCACGTTTACACACATGAGACTATTGGCCTGCACATGTCTGTACGGCCTGCGTCAAACTGACGACCAAGGCATCTTTCTCCGCAACGTCTGCGCGCAAAACGTCCAGCTCCTTCAGCTGCAACTCATTGCCCTGAACCAAGGTTCGCAAGGCTACCCCTGTGAAACTGTTTGCGGATGCAAATCTACGGTCACTCTTGTGGCAATCTCTGTTGTGGCCCTCAGTCATTTACACACATGAGACTACTGGCCGTCTGTACGGCCTGCGTGAAGCCAACGACCAAGGCATCCTTCTCCGCAACGTCTGCGCGCAAAACGTCCAGCTCCTTCAGCTGCAACTCATTGCCCTGAACCAAGGCTCGCAAGGCTACCCCTGCGCAACTGTTTGCAAATCCAAATCTATGGCCCCTCTACGGCAATGCCAGTCATGGCGCTCGGTGGTCCAGCAAGACATGTCAAGTCGCAAAGTGGCATGATGATAGGTCCTTGAGCAACTATTCACGATTCACATCAACGATAGATAAATACGTTAAGACTGACTCCGGCACATAAGATTATTGGCCTGCACATGTCTGCACGGCCTGCGTCAAGCTGACGACCAAGGCATCCTTCTCCGCAACATCTGCGCGCAAAACGTCCAGCTGCTTCAGCTGCAACTCATTGCCCTGAACCAAGGCTCGCAAAGCTACCCCTGCGCAACTGTTTGCGGATCCAAATCTATGGCCCCTCTACGGCAATGCCAGTCATGGCGCTCGGTGATCCAGCAAGACATGTCAAGTCGCAAAGTGGCATGATGATAGGTCCTTGAGCAACTATTCACGATTCACGTCAACGATAGATAAATACGTTAAGACTGACTCCGGCACATGAGATTATTGGCCTGCACATGTATGCACGGCCTGCGTCAAGCTGACGACCAAGGCATCCTTCTCCGCAACATCTGCGCGCAAAACGTCCAGCTGCTTCAGCTGCAACTCATTGCCCTGAACCAAGGCTCGCAAGGCTGCCCTGTGCAACTGTTTGCGGATCCAAATCTATGGCCCCTCTTGTGGCATTGCCAGTCATGGCGCTCGGTCATCCAGCAAGACATGTCAAGTCGCAAAGTGGCATGATGATAGGTCCTTGAGTAGGTAATCATGATTCACATTAACGATAAATACGTTAACACTGATTGTTGGCCTGCACATGTCTCTGTACGGCCTGCGTCAAGCTGACGACCAAGGCATCCTTCTGAGCAACGTCTGCAAGCAAAACGTCCAGCTCCTTCAGCTGCAACTCTTTGCCCTGAACCAAGGCTCGCAAGGCTACCCCTGCGCAACTGTTTGCGGATCCAAATCTATGGCCCCTCTACGGCAATGCCAGTCATGGCGCTCGGTGATCCAGCAAGACATGTCAGGTCGCAAAGTGGCATGATGATAGGTCCTTGAGCAACTATTCACGATTCACGTCAACGATAGATAAATACGTTAAGACTGACTCTGGCACATGAGATTATTGGCCTGCACATGTCTGCACGGCCTGCGTCAAGCTGACGACCAAGGCATCCTTCTCCGCAACGTCTGCGCGCAAAACGTCCAGCTGCTTCAGCTGCAACTCATTGCCCTGAACCAAGGCTCGCAAGGCTACCCCTGCGCAACTGTTTGCGGATCCAAATCTATGGCCCCTCTACGGCAATGCCAGTCATGGCGCTCGGTGATCCAGCAAGACATGTCAAGTCGCAAAGTGGCATGATTATAGGTCCTTGAGCAACTATTCACGATTCACGTCAACGATAGATAAATACGTTAAGACTGACTCCGGCACATAAGATTATTGGCCTGCACATGTCTGCACGGCCTGCGTCAAGCTGACGACCAAGGCATCCTTCTCCGCAACGTCTGCGCGCAAAACGTCCAGCTGCTTCAGCTGCAACTCATTGCCCTGAACCAAGGCTCGCAAGGCTACCCCTGCGCAACTGTTTGCGGATCCAAATCTATGGCCCCTCTACGGCAATGCCAGTCATAGCGCTCGGTGATCCAGCAAGACATGTCAAGTCGCAAAGTTGCATGATGATAGGTCCTTGAGCAACTATTCACGATTCACATCAACGATAGATAAATACGTTAAGACTGACTCCGGCACATAAGATTATTGGCCTGCACATGTATGCACGGCCTGCGTCAAGCTGACGACCAAGGCATCCTTCTCCGCAACGTCTGCGCGCAAAACGTCCAGCTCCTTCAGCTGCAACTCTTTGCCCTGAGCAAAAGCTGCTGATGCGCATGTATATTCCGGCCAAACAAAGTATCGCATCCTGGAATTGCACAGTTGGAATGAAACACCTACACACTCATGACATGACACATGCATACACACACACATGCACACACACATACACACACACACACACACACACACACACATGCGCACACATGCACACACATGCACACACACAAACATATTGAACATCATATCCTGAGCCATCCTGCTCTCAGCAGTCTTGTTGAATGGGAGTTCCCGATTGAACTTCAAAGCTTGCTCTGCATAGGCATCTCTTGCGTATAGCTTGTGTTACACTGGTTGGTTTGCTTGGGTTGTTGTTTTCATTTGAATCCAACGCAAAGTGGGCTTTCTGCAATGACCGGGGTCAAGGAGGCTCGCAGCAGCCGAAGCGCACCTTTGCGCTGAGATCGAATGTCCACGCGCCCACTGGCGCGGTCGCAACCGTGGCTCGGTGTCGAGCGGACAAAGGGGCCCCTCTGTCTAGGGCCATGGTGGCAGCAGTGGATCAACAGTTGACATGTCACAACCGAAGGAATCGCATGGGCCAAAAACCTTTCTCAACTGCTGATCCCGTTGCTGATGTGCCGTCACGTCCTTGATGGCAGAACGCCCTTGGCCGTGGCTCTTGCGAGCTGAAGTGAAGGTGTTGTCGTATGCAACACTCCACAGGCCTGTTTGAAGAAACTTGGTGAGACCCAGGCGACACTCAGCTTTCTTCTTGGTCAAGGCGTCGCCGAGATCATAGTCGCTGGCCACCCAACGAAGTTCAGCTCCGGTTCGGGTGAGATGCTCCCGAAGTTGAAGAGCTTGAAGCGCGGCTCTTGCGTTGCTCAACCCAAGCATTGGTGACTCGTTGTAGATCACCGCATCGTAGCCGCCTTTGCTGTCGGTGGCCAGAATGCCTTTGATGCCGCGGGCCATGCGTTCAGCCCATTCCACCCTGTCTTCGTGTGGGGTGAGATCGTGACCGGCTCCATTCATTTCGCACCAGAGCACGCGGATGCGGAAGTTCTGGTCCTCGCCATCCAGGATTGCCTGGACTTCAGCATCATTTGAGGATATGGCCTTGCGGCGCAGCTTCCAGCTTCGCCATGCCAGGGGTGCCATGTGTGTGACCTTGCCCTCGCTTGCATGAGGTCCAGTAGCAACTGAGATCAAGCCGCCGGTGGAGTCCATCTTGCTGCGGTTCGCGCGGGCTTGGTCGCAGAAGGTCACAAACACCATGTCTCGCCACGACTCGACTCCAGGTGGTTTCTTGTAGTGCAGCTGGTAGGCGTGCTTGCGAATCTCGCCGACTAGCTGTTGAAGTTCCAGCGCCGATTGCATGAGGCGCTTGGTCGTGATTTCAGATGCAAGTAGGTTGCACCTGGCACAGAGCTGCGGCTGAGTCTGCAAGGCCAACCATTGAAGACTGCCCCAGGTAGTGCGGCAGGCAGCTACCTCCTCAGGATTCATGACCGCATTCTCTTGACGAAGGCGATCGGGATCAATGTTCACATCGGCGATGGAGTCGATGTAGTACTGCTGATTGATCTTTACCTCCACGGAGCCGTCCTTGTTGATGATGGAGGTCAGGTCGGTTCCGGCGTGCCGGTAGTTGCCACGTTTGGCAGTGCCCCACTCGTAGAGCTTGTCGATCTGGGAACAGACCTGAACCCACTCAGGCGAGAGGCGATTGCCACAGCGATGGAAATCATCCACGTGGCCGCCCATGATGCCAAGTACCAGGGGGATGCCGAAGGCGTCCTTCTCCGTGGCTGACTGCCAGATCCAGATGCAGCGTTCACCAATGAGTGGTTTGCCGCCAATGGAGGCCAGGCGCCGGTGAAGGTCCAGCCAGAGTCCCCTTGGTGCGGTCGTTGAGCCGTAGATGTTCTTGAGGATCTTCATGACTCCGTCTGCTGGAACATCCAGGGCTTCACGAAGCTCTGATACACCGCGAGTCCACAGATCTTGATCCGCCTCTGTGGGCTGCGTCTGCAAGAAGGCAGTGGCCAAATCGAGACCTTCAAGTTCCCAGCCGTGAGTGCAGGCCATGGTGTACAGGAGGTTTCTTCCCAGCCCAGACTGCACAGGGCTAGAGGTCTTGAACTCAGGCCGAAGAAGGTCCGGATGTTCGTAGCCGAGAAGCACAATGCGTGCTTTTGCCTTGCGTTGACCGTCCTTAGTGTAGGTGGACTTGGCGTTGGATTTCGCCTCGGCTTGAGCTTCTTGAAGATCTTCTGGAGGTGTTGGTTTCCAGGTGAGAACCCATCGGGCTCGCATGATGCGACCAGAGTCGAAGGCCTCGCTGACCTCCTTGTTGTCCAGAGCCTTGCGAACAGCCTCGATTTGATGAAGCTGCTGACTTCCTTGGACTTGGCTCTGCTGAAGAGTTCCCTGTGTTCAAGAGGCGGGAGAGCACAACCTCGCTGTCTCTCATCTTCTTGACCATGAAGGCCGAGGCGTCCCGGAGGAAGTCCTTCTCCTTACGGTGGGAGTTAAGGTCAACGTCAAACTCGATCTTCATCACCTCCTGGGAGTCGATGAGGAGCTGATGGAGATCACCTTCAACTTGGTGTAGTTCCTCGAGCCAGCCCAGGTCATAGCCGTCGGTACGCTGCTTCTTGTTGTCTGGCTCATAGCTGTTGGGATCTTCAGCTGCGGGATCAGCGCTTGGACTTGAGGTGCCAGGTAGATCAGGTGGTAAGGCTTGAGGTTCAGTCGAGGTCTCCGGCATGGATGGTCCCATAGAGCTGTCCAGTGACTCGGGAGTGTAGTCCGGGTCGTCCGCCATGAAGGGTACATGAGCAGGACGTGGAGGAACCCGAAATGGTGCGGACTTCACACGGATCCGCCTCTTGGGGATGTCGATGGTCTCCTTGTTGGGGAGATCGGGCAGATCAGGCTGCTCTTGTTCATCGTCTCCGGGTTCATCGTCGGCAAGATCGATGAACTCCTTGTTGGGCAGCATGTCGGAGAGGGAACGCCACCGGGAGACGTCTTCCTTAGCACTGATCTCGAACTGGGTCTCCTCCAGGGGCGTGGTAGGTCTCACGGAGTGGACAGAGCAGCGCAGGAGCTGGTTCTGCAGCAGCACCCAGACGATGTGCCTTCGGGCGTCACTTGGTTGTTGATGTGGAAGGATCTCGTGAAACACCACTCGGCCAGGACCGATCCAGTGCGGGCGTCCGGATTTTCGAGCACCGCCCCGCTTGCCAACGTAAACGTGGGATGGCCATTGCTTGCGCCATACCATCACGAGTTGCATGGGATGGAAGGTCCTGATGGGCTGTCTCACAGTCGAGTTGCTGAGCTTGGAGAGGACACGAAGGGCACGGGTTTTGCGTGCTACTTGTTCAGCACTCTGACGCAGCTGGACTAGACGTGCGTAGTCGTCGTCGGGCGACTCAGGAAGTGTGGCAAAGGTTCTCACGTCCTCATCGGTGATGGAGTAGTCCTTGCCGTAGCACCACTGGAAGGATGAGTACCCTTTGACGTACTCGGTTGAGTTGAGCGCGGCGATGGCCAGGTGCAAGGTGATGATCGGGTCCTGAGAAGGAGAGCCAAGCTGAATGGCTGATGCTGTCATCTTGACGTCCTTGATGGCGGACTCAACTTGGCCATGTGCCCAGCTTTCCTTTTCCGCAGGAGGTGCAAGTTGTACACCGATGTCGGACAGGAAGTCGCTCACGTCCCGAGAGACCAGGGTGATGCCGTTGTCAGGGATGACGACTTCTGGCCGTGGTTTGTCGGCCAGCCACCGTTCAGCTAGACCTTTGATGATGTCTGCCGAGCTTTCGCTCTGCATTTGGAGGACATCGTAGCACTTGATGACATGCACAGCTCGGAGACGTGTGGCCAGGTCCATGATCAGCATGAATTTGAGCTTCAGCTTGCTATTGGGTATCACCCACTCGGTCACGTCGACGCCAATAGCTTGCCAGGCGCGGTACAGTGGATGCGTGGATGCCGGTGGTATACTTCCGGAAGAGGATCCGCCAGGTCGAAGAGCATCACACGAAGCACACTTGAAGTCGCGAGCCATTTGAACCTTCCATTCGGGTAGCCGAGCATCTCGAAGTAGGTGCACAAGGTTGCGGTTGGTGGGATGCCCAGCGGCCTTGTGGAAGTGGTGTAGCTTGGCAGACCAAGCTCGGTGTTCTGGACCATCTTGAGGTACATCTGATGGCACAGACAAAATTGCTTCACTAGCGGGGTGACCATCTGCATGGAGTTCTCCAGCATGGAGATCATCACGAACATGACCAGGAGGTAGAGCTAGGGATTGAGTTGCCTCCCAAGGTTCGCGATATGGTGTGAGGGATGCATGCGATGGCCGAGTTGGGTCCATGGAGGTGATACCGTTGTGCTGGTAGTGCTTGAAGTTCCAGTGGTCGTCATCCAGGTTGACGTCCTTGTCAGACAGGTTCTGACAGGCCGAGAGGTACTTGAGGTACCGTTGTGGAGCAAGTTCAGATAGCCATCCGCGGACGATGGCTTGCACGAGTCGCAGTGGATAGTAGCTGGAGCGGCTCGTCTCTGCTCCTTCTATTCGTGCATGGTTGTGGTTGTTGGTGCAGACCCGAGCGCGGAAGGTCTGATGGAAGCGCTCATCGGTGGTACGGATCAACCACCGTTTCTTCAGGAGGTCAGTGCCGGCTTTGTTGGTCATGCCATAGCGACAGCCGTCAACTCGGCAGGGAAGCCAGTCCAGACCACGAGCTCGTAGACCTTCACGAAGGTCAACCACTGGTTGCTGCTCCCACCCAGCGCAGGGATGGGTCCATTCCCAGTAGATGTCGAAGTCCGGGTCCTCGTCGAGGGCCTGCAGGATGAACTGCTTGGCGTTCTTGAGCATTTTGCGTTCTCGACGTCGGGCTGTTTCAAGGACTTCTCGACGTTCCGGGGTGTTGTAGTTCAAGTTGGTGAATTGGCACCACTTGGTACATGGGAAGGAGAACCAAATGCGCTTGGGTCTGTGTTGTCGCCGTAGGTCT